ATCCAAGTTAAATATTTCCAGAAAATAAATGTCTAGACACCGTCTCATATAAATTAAGCACCCAGTTTTCAAAAGATTCTTAGCAGACCTCCTTTTTTGTTGTGTTGGTGAGGTGGATTTTACAACTGTGAAAAGTGCTAGCCAGCCTGATGCGCCTAAGTCAGCGCCCCTGCGGGTGGCTAACAAGTGCTGCTTGATCATGAGTGAGTAGTGCGTGGTGTGTGCATATATGTGCATGCATGTGTGTGCTTCTGTGTGTGTGATGTGCATGTTAGGCAAGAGGGCAGCATGGGGAAGACAGACTCAAGGAGCATATTACAGAAGGCAGCTCCCCTTTTCTTGAGAGGGTCATTTCTGAGACTTTCAGGTGAGAAGCACATGTACATTTCCATCTGGCTTGGAGAAGCTGCCATGTTGGTTAAGAGAACATGGTTTCCATGAGAATAAGACCATATGGATGAAGGATATGAAGACAGAATTCACTTGTGTCTCTTTGCCTTTTCATTTTGTTTACATTTGAAGATTTTCAAATGGGGTTTGATTCAATTCTGTGCTTTTGATGTTTACATTTTTCTGGTTATACACTTCTGAGTTATTGGTACATATATTACAGATTTTTTCCATAAAAAATAAAATTTTAAGAAAAATAAGACAGAAATTTAAACGTTTTAAAGGCACTTTTATTATGTTTTTATAATGTGTCTTTATAGTGTATGTAACTGTTATAACTACAAATATTGACATTAAATTTATATTCATGTAAATATTATAATTATAAATGTTATAAATTAATGTTATATATCATTTATATTTTTATGGAAATATAAAAATATTTATATGACGTATGAGTATTATACCTCATATAAATATATTTGTATTTTATATGTATAGTAGTATATATTAGATATCACAGTAAGTATACAACTCTAAAATAAAGCAAATATGAAAATTTATATTATATTTTATAAATATTTTCATATATATTTTAGCTACATTTATGATAAAAAAATAATTCCATGGGTGAATTTACAGTGAATGTGTAGAACCATTTAAAATTCTATGGAGAGGTAACTTAAGAAGTCATGTTTTCTTTTTCTGGAGTTTTGCAAAATTGTCTCTCTCTCCCCTCTCTTTCCTTTCCTCCCCTCTCCTCTTCTCCCCTCCCTGCCCCTTCCCCTCTCTCCCCTCTTCTTCTCTCCTCTGCTATGCTCTCCTCTCCTCCCCTCTTCTCTCTCTCTTTGTTTTTTCCCCCTAGGGGAAACTGTGGGGGAGGATTTAAGAAGTGATGAAGAGAAAGAAAGCAACTTTATATTTCATTGCGATACATGTAAAAGTCCTCTATTCCCCTTAACCAGAATCTTTCAAATAAATGCATTTCTGGAGGTGGCATGATTTCAATGTACCGACTCAGTGACTGTCTAGTGGATGTCTTTGTGGAGGTCTCCTAGGTGCCAGGCAGTAGGCGAGGTTCCTGAGAACAGAAAAAATGAGGTCTGTGCCCACAAGGCTGTGGTGATGCAGGAGGAGTGAGATGAGGACAAGACCAGGAGCATAACCATGTGAACTGGATAATTTCAGACAGTGAGGGTATTAGCAGTAGAACCATGGCAGATAAGATGCAAGAAGGAATGCAGTAGATAACCTTCATCTCGGTTATCTGGCACATCACCTTCAAAGAGGTGATGTTTGAATGAGTCCTTCACGGAGAGAAACCCAGCCTTGTAAAATCCAATGGAAGAGTGTTCAAGGCAGGGGGAAGAGCTCGTGACAAGGCCTGAGGAGGGACTTGGGAAAATAACTCACTCTGAGGTCACATCCGAGTCCAATAGCCTTTGGAACACTATTTGGGAGAGCTGGCCTGAGGGAACTTGTCCCGTTAGAGTCTCACAGGAGAAGGGATCTGAGGTGGTCTGGGGGCGAGATGAAGCCTGGGTACTGAGTGGTTATTGTGAGCTCCACAGTGAGTGGCTGACACACTGACCCTTCCTGGAGTCTGTGTGAGAGGTTGTGTGTTCTAGAGATGGCCATGATACTATCTCCGACCCTGCACATCCTTCCTTCAGTATGGCCTTGACACAGTCCATTTCAAAGGAGGGGTCTAGTTGCCTTCCCTTGATTCTGGGTCTGATTATGACTCAGAAGCCAGATCATCAAAATCAATGTGGCCTCCACCTGGTTCTGGTGGAAAGATAGTGCATGGCACCTGGCCACCATGTGTTAGGAAGCATGGGCCACGGTGAGGAGTGGCTGCGTGTGAGTGCTCTCATGGACAGCCACAGCTGAGGGTCTCACCATAGAGAGCGTCAGTCCCAGCCATGGGTTAAGGAGTCTTTGTGGGACTCTTGCTTCCACCTTGCAAGTCACCCAGCCTTTGAGACTTCCAGCTGGGGCCCAGGTATTGTACAGCAGAGACAAGTTGTCCCCTCTCTACCCTTTCCCATTTCCCAATCCACAGAATTCATGAGAACTTTGAGACTTTCCACCTGTGGATGGTTTATTTCGCAGCAGTAGACCACTGTAGTGTCTTTATTTTCAACAGTCAGTACTAACAGCCTCTTCAGGCAAGAGAGGATGCCACTCAGCTCTGGGCCAAACAAAGTGGGGTCCCAGAGCCCACGTCCATTACCACTGAGATGATTGGGCAACCTGGAGCCTCCAAATGGGCCACACTGAGTGCTTCCCCGACAGCACAGTCCTAGCTGGCAGGCAGCAGCCTGCCTCTGTATGCCTGAACTTCTGTTTGCCACCCTTTGAGAGCAATCTTGAAAGCCTCAGCTCAAAGTATTTCTTTTTGTGGTTCAGTGCCTCCATGCAAATACAGCTTCCCAGCTGGGAAATATCTCCCACAAACCCTTTGGAGCTGCTAGTATAGAATTTAATACAAAGCCTTAGCAAATGTCCTGCCTCGTTCTAATTCTTACTCAACAACTTGCTAGATCGTGGGCACACTGCTTAACATTCTAAGCTTCAAGTTCCTCATCTGTAAAATAGGGATGATGATATACAGTGCATATTTCATGGTAATATTGTGAGAACTAAATGAATTAATTTATAGTAACATTTACAGTAGTACTTAACTTATAGGATATATATATATTCTGTGCACATATACAGAGGTATATGTACTATATGCATAAATCATATATACATACATAGGTATAGGATATGCTTGGGTATATATAATATATGCATCCATTATATATATATATATATATATATATATATATATATATATATATATTCCCCCAAAGCTTTCACTGCTGTTGTATCATTTCCATGTGGTTATACATATTCTTTATCTACTCCCCCCACCTCAGCACACTCGTTGATGTGGGTGAAGCAGATCTTCTATAGAGATATCTTGTCTTAGAGCCAGTGCAATGCTCTGCCTCCTCCTGGAAAGGGCATAGGCCTCCTTATCTTGGTATCCTCAGAATCCAGCATAGGCTTGATTACTGCAAGAGCTCTAGAAACATGTTTGAATTAACAAATGGCTAAGTGATCCATCTGAGACATGGCGAGGATGTACGCCTCACACCACAGTATTAGAAATCAATTTCTTCTTCCCTGAGCTCTCCAACTGTTCCTGGTCTCAAGTGACAGATCTGAGGCAAGCACCAGTGATCTGATATGCCAGCTTCCAAAAGGGAACAAAGGCTAGAGAAATCTGAGTCAGTCATTAGACACAAAGGGAGAGCTAAAGCAGAGAGAGCTTTTACTGTGCTGTGATATCATTTCTCATCCGTTTATATGGGAGAAAATGGTTTACCAGTGGTCCAGGGAATTTGGAAAGCAACAGCAACAACAGCAACACCTCACTTTCCTACACTTTAAGGATGTAAATGGCCCCAGGAAATGACTTGGGTGCTGAGGTAATTTCCTTAGATGGGCTTGCAAATTTCATTTGTCATCAGTTTCAAGGTAAAGAAACTGGAAGCTGAGATGTGGCTAGTTCTGGGAATGACAGGCAAATGGACACCATACGTACTACCCATGGTCCTACAGGAACCCTTGAAACATGACATGGGAAGCCTGGGGCCAGGCCAGGTTGTGATGATAAGGCACTTACACATGAAAGAGAGAGAGGAAGGCTTCCCCTGTGGAGCGGAGCGCAGCTGTGACAGGCAGTAGGAGAGACTCACATTCATTCTAGTGTTCCCTTTAGCCACCCTCTCTGCCAGGCAATGTGGAGGACACAGAGATCAGTGCAACCTCCAGCCTAAAGAAACCCTTCACTGAATGTGAGAGACTGCACGTAAGCAGAAGGTGCGCAGAGGAGCCCGGATCTAACCTGCTCGCGTGGGTAGTTACCACGAGAGTGGGACGAGGTGTTTCCTTGTGATACTCTTCATGCTGCCTGCCAGGTGACCTTTGTAAATTGCAAACCTGGTCATATTATTTCCTTCTTCTAGTTCTTGTTTTATAAAGATAATTCAAAAATGTTTGTATCTCCTCCAAATTTATGTTAAACTCTTAGTCCCCATTTTGACCGTATTTGGAAGTGAGACCTGTGGAAGACGATAAAGTGGCGGAGCCCCTGAGGTGGGGTTGGTGTCCGCCTGGGAAGAGACCTAAGTGCTCACTCCGCTCTCTTCTCCTCTCTCTTTCCCTCTCCATTATGCTTGGACACAAGAAGGTAGTTCTTTGTCAGTGAGCGCGAGAGGGCCCTCTGCAGGTCCCAACTATACTTGCCGCTTGATTCAAACGTTCGGGCTCCAGAACTGTGAGAAATAAATTTCTATTATTTATTATCCACACAGGTTTTGATATTTCTTAGAGCATCACAAGCTGACTAAGATAATAATTTAAAGGAAGGACACCTATCAATGAGGATCTACAATGTACCAAGCTCTGTTTAAGTGTTGTTTTTACACACACACACACACACACACACACACACACACACACACACAAAATAATTGGATCATCAGGTGCCTACTGCCTATAGGAAAGACCTCCATTTTCTTGGCAAACCGAGGCACCCCAGGGTGCATCCTAACCTTTGTCTTCCAGTTTCATTTCCAGCCATGCCCTCCTGAACTCCAGCTGTGTCAGCTGTCCCAAGAAGCTTTGCTGCTGTTCAGGCATCGATCTTGCCCTCAGGACTGCTGCTGTCTTCCTTTCAGGCTCGGTGGACTGGTCACCTCCTCCCAGAAGCTCCCCTTGCCCCCTAGGACAGAATTCCCAGTCCTGCCCTCCGGGCCTTTGCTTATGCTGCTCTGGAGGCCTGAATGCTCTTCCTCTGGTGGTCACCTACTTATCTTTCATAGCCTTTGCTGACTCACCGGAAAGAGCTGAACCTGTCCTCCTTGACACGTCTAACTGCTCAGTTCTCTTCTATTCTGGATACTTCACTTGAGCCCTTGAAGGCAGTGGCTGGGATTGCACCTCTGAATGCTCTGCCCTGGGAAAATGCTTGAGCAATGAAAGGATGGATGAATCCATCCTATCACATTGCAATTAAGCTGCCTGTGTTATTTGCATGCACTATTTATCACCAACCCTTTAAAGGAGGGGTTTATCCTTCTTACCCTTTTTGTCTCATCCTTTTCCATCTTTATTCTCTTCAGCATGGCTACCACACTAAGTAGCAGGCAATGTGTGTTAGGTGGGGGAATCAAGACTCCAAAAACTGTGTTGGTTGCATTTCATTTATGTTTAAACTTTCACTTTAGTGGAGTGTCGCAATTAAGTCTATGGTGGAGTCAAAAGAACACCTTCAAAGAAGTCCTAAGCTCTGGGCTTTGAATCCAGAATCTTTACCACAACCTTGGTCAACTACTTACTCAATTTGCATCTATTTTCTTGGAATGATTTGTCAGCTACGCTAATAATATCTAACACACAGGGTAGTTTTGAAGATTAAATAAGACTTAAAATGCTTGGCGCTTGAAGGTGCTCAACCAATATTAATTTCCTTTCCCTGAGCTAGTGTCATAATATGACTTCAATTTGATTAGTTCCTATAAAATAAAATTGAGTACGTCTTTGAGTCTTACAGACACAGACCGAGTTATGTCCTTTAGGCAGCTGGATATTAAATGGTGCCCTTGAAACCTGACACTGGGCTCTGCCAGGAAGATATTAGCCTCCTCCTAACTCATGCTATTTTGGGATTTGATGGCTTTGGAAAGGAGATAACAGCTGACTTTTATGCAGATCGAGAATTGCTGTGCGCTCTGCAAGAAAATGCCAAAACCTCAACTTATGCCATTTGGAAAGAACTCAGCACACTCTGAACTTGGGCATTCAAAAGCTATTATTTTTATGCCAACATGAAAGTTTATTCAGGAAGTTGCAAAAGAAAAAAAAAGTCTCATAGCAGTGAACTCCAAGGGAATTGGAAAGTCCTTAGTCTTGCTGCTTGTCTGTGTTCAACAGTTGACGATGTAAAACAGGGTCTATTTATCAGAAGTATCTCTGTAGACACAAATAACTTCAAATTTCCCATGACTCTGAGCAGCAAAGATTAATCCTGTATCTGTGCTCTAGTTGACTGCAAAGGTGGTTCTGCGCCATGTCATTTTCACTCAGGAATTCAGGCCATGGAGCTTCCCTGAGGTGTGATGCTGTCACTATAGCATAGGTTATAGGTCACGGCCGTTCATGTACTTCTGCTCAGTAGTGACATATGTCACATCTGCACATGGTTGTCCAAGCAAGCCATATGACATTACCAACTTCACGCAATGAGGAGGTAAAATCACACTGTCAACTCTCCAAAAAAGAGCACGAGAAATATCAGTTTAGCACAACAGAAAAGAGGGAGTAGGTTCAAGAGCTGTGGGGGAATTAACAGAAAGGGTACTGATGGGATGTAGGATAAAAATGAAAGGGAAAGTCCAGGGTGATGCTTTGGTTTTGGGCTTCACATTTGACTATGGGTCAATTTGATTCAATATTTGATTGACTATGGGTCACTGATTCCTGGGACCAGAAAAAAAAAAACAAAAACAAAAGCAAAAACAAAACAAACAGGGGCTGAGGATTTAGCTCAGTGGCACAGCTCCTGCCTGTCAAACGCAAGGTCATGAGTACCAGAAAAAAAAACAAAAACAAAAACAGAAACACATTTGACTATGGGGCAAAGATGGTGGCATTCACTGAAAAATATGTGCTCAGTTTGTGGCATGTACATTTGTTCTGCTGGGAGAAGAATTAAATAGGCAGTTGATTAAATGGGTCTGGAGTTTAGGAGAAAGACACAAAGTGGACATAAAGATTGCCCATCATCAACTCAGAAGTGGTGGTTGAAGCTAAAGGAAATTGGGTAGAGTAAAACAGAATAAAAAAGATGTGACAGTATTATATGCTGGTAAGGATGTTAAGCAACTGGTCTGTTTATGCAACTATGATAAAGTGGATATTGACACAGCTATTTTTAAAAATAATTTTCAGTTACCTTATAAAGATATGCAAACCCTCTTATCCAGAAATACTAGTTCTGGATCTATATCCTAGAAAAATTCAGAGAAGACATATGAAAGGGTCTCACAGCAGCATGTCTATATTAGCAAAAAATGGGAAATAACCCAGATACCCATCAGCAAGAGAAAGACTAAATGAACTGTGGAGCATTCTTGCAATGGAATGATGCAGTAATAAAAAATAATGAAGGAGGGCTTCAGAAACAGCATGGATGAGCCTCAAGAACATAATGTGAAGGGGAAAAAGAGTCACAGAAGAGAACATCCAGTATGATGCATTTTATAGAAAGCTCAAATGCTTATAAAACTAAACACATGTGGTTACACTGAAAAAATAAGTGTGGAAATGATAAACACACAAATCAGAACAGTGGTTGTCTTTGTAGAGGAAGGGTATGGGTAGGATCCCAATAGTGCACCCAGGGGGTTTCAAAAATAATTACCACAATGTTTATGTTCAGCAGGCTGGGAGGAAAATGGTCTAATCTAAGTTGTACTTATTTCCTTTTTTGCATCTATATCATAAAGGTTCTTTGCTTTGACTCAATACTTTTTAATATTTTATTTTTAAAAGTATTAATCTAAAATGTAAAAGCAAACAAAATAAAATAAAGGAGTCTTGGACACGGGCCACAATGAATTTTGAAGAATTTTATGATCAAGGATACTTTAATGGAAACACATTTAATGGCCAGAGACAGCCAGGAGAGAATAAAGCCATGGAAGTTAGAAGAAAGGTAATAATCATGGCTATCATGTATGAAATACTTTCTGTGTGCCAGGCATTTGTCTAAGCATATTATGAATATATTTCACTTCACCTTTTATCAATATTATGAGGTAGATATTATTATGTTCTACTAACATATGAAAAAATGAAACTAAAGGAGCCAAGTCATTAGTGTAAGGTCCTACATTTATGTAAGACCTATGTAAGTGGTAGAATTTTAGATTAGAACAAAGTCTACTTTGACCACAATTTGTGCTTTTAACCACATTTTATGTTCTCCCTCCTCCAAATGTATGAGAATCTTGAAGAGGAGGAAATAGTGGACAATATTAAATGTTGCCCAGAAATAAGATGGAGCAGAAGAGCTTCCATCGGATTTTAGAATGACGAGTTACCTATCAATTCTGTCTATATGGCCAGCAGTGACAGTGGAATTAGGGAAATTCAAATTGGATTACATGAAAGTATGAATTAGAAGTGAAGAGATAAAAATGGAGGATATATCATAAAAGAGAAGAATAACCCTAGGCAAAGGCCATCTTACACTGACGATAACTAGAGATTTGGCTAAATAGGAAACTTGTAAAGCAGGCCACAGAATCAGAGACCTGACTTTAGTAAGGAGAGCGAGAGATAAGGACATCCTAGAAAGAGGGTCAGGGAATAAAAGAACACAGTAGAGTATTTGTTCCTTCAGCCATGACAAAAACAAGCAATGAACTTAGCCTCTCCCTAAACAAACAAGACAGTTATGTAAAGAACTGTTTTCCAAACTTGGATGGCATTCCAGGACTGTGATCCCTGAAGTAAAAGTAAACAAACAAGGTGAGCCCTACCATTGCTGTAGCAGTCAGCCTGAAGACAACTTCTGGACTGTGGCTCATGAAAGGAGAACCTCAAAGGAGACTTCAAGACAAGATCAGCAAGAAGGAAGGAAGTAGCAGGAACTTTATGGCAGAGATGAAGAAAGAAGGGAGCAATGCAGTAGATCTTCAGAAATCTGTACCCTTAAATACCAAGTAAAAATATTATATATTTGTAGAATGAAACTGCAGAAGGCCAGGCAAAGGATGACCAGGAGTCAAGATCAGACCATTCCTAGAGCTAACAGAAGGCAGGACAACTTTCAAGCCCCAACAAAGTCAAATAGGAAAGGCCCTGTTACCAGCTGGGTTATACAGCAGAAATGCCAGAGGATTATGTCTTAGTTATGGACTGAAGCATCTCTATGATATTGCCTATTTTAGATGTACTCCGGAGATGCTTAAAAGCAGGTCTTTATGTAGGTTAGCTTTCTATCACTGTGGCAGATGTCTGAGAGGAAAGGTTTATTTTGGCCCATGGTTTCAGAGGTTTCAGTCCATGGTCTGCTGGCTCCATTGCTTCCAGTCCTGTAGTGAGGTAGAAACATCATGGTGGAAGGATGTGGCAGAAGAAACAGCTCAGTTCCTGGCACAAAGGAAGAAGGGACAGAGGGAAGGAGAGAGGGAGGAAGGGAGGGAGGGTGGGAGAAACAGAGAGGGATTGTGGCCTGGAGCTGGGTATATTTATGTAGTCATGGGGTGTCTTCAAGTTTCAAGAATGTGTTCCCAGTTTCCCCCGGGTCACGCATCTGGTTGGCTCTATGATACTGTGCTTGAAGGGGGGAAGATAACAATGACAGGGGAGGAGAGGGGCAGAGGCAGAGACAAGGAGATGGAGGAGAGGAAGGAGAGAGAAAACAGATGTCCATAAAAATATACCCTTCAAAGTTATGCCACTAATGACCTCCTTCCTCCAACTAGGTCCCACCTCAGAGTTTCCATCAATTCCTAATAGCACCATGGACTAGAGACCAGACTTTCAGCACATGAGCTTTGGGGGAAATTTAAGATCTAAACTGTAACAGTAAGGAATGAAATGGGACCACAATTAAGCCAACTACCTGAGAAAATTAAGTCCAATATTCTTTCAAGGAAAACAACAAACTCTAGAACATCAATGACATAATAGTCAAAATGTTCAGATCCAATAAAATATTGCAAAACATAAGCAGGCATAAAATAATGATTT